GTGAGAACAAAAGGCAGGCAGGGATCCCCCCATTCGCCCACTGCTCTCCAGCGCCACCTGCCGGACCCCAAAGGGCACCACGCCTGGCAGCCCAGGAAAGGGGCAAAGCAGGGAGAATGGGGCCCTTTCAGAGCCCACCCCTCCACTTAAAGAGCCCCCCCCCTCAACCCCCTTTAAATACAAATAATAGCATCATAATAATAATCCTAGCTCCCTTGGATGGGGTGTTTTGTGTCATTCTCTTATGTGTCCCCCCCCCCCATTTATTGGGTGAGTCCTGAGAAAGGCATTGCTGGCAATAGGCTTCCAGAATGGGACAAACCATCTGAATCGGTTTGGAGGGGGCGCTTATTATCTCTACCCATGCCAATCCCTACCCTCTTGGAAGCCCAGTGGGATTTAATGGGTTTTTAAATGTAGAAACAAACAAAAATAAATAAATAGGAACAACCTCAGCATATATATCTATATGTTCAGATATTGAATCTTTGCAATATGATACTACAACTTTGCAATATAATACCTTTGCAATAAAATACAATATAATATAACACTATATAATATAATATAATACAATATAATACCTTTGCAATAAAATACAATATAATACAATATAATATAATATAATACAATATAATACCTTTGCAATATAATACAATATAGTATAATATAATACAATATAATACCTTTGCAATATAATATAATATAATATAATACAATATAATACCTTTGCAATAAAATACAATACAATATAATATAATACAATATAATACAATATAATATAATATAATATAATATAATATAATACAATATAATACCTTTGCAATAAAATACAATATAATACAATATAATATAATATAATACAATATAATACCTTTGCAATATAATACAATATAATATAATATAATACAATATAATACCTTTGCAATATAATATAATATAATACAATATAATACCTTTGCAATAAAATACAATACAATATAATATAATACAATATAATACCTTTGCAATATAATACAATATAATATAATACAATATAATACCTTTGCAATATAATACAATATAATACAATATAATATAATATAATATAATACAATATAATACCTTTGCAATAAAATACAATATAATATAATACAATATAATACCTTTGCAATAAAATACAATATAATATAATACAATATAATATAATACAATATAATACCTTTGCAATATAATACAATATAATATAATATAATACAATATAATACCTTTGCAATAAAATACAATACAATATAATACAATATAATACCTTTGCAATATAATACAATATAATATAATACAATATAATACCTTTGCAATATAATACAATATAATATAATACAATATAATACTAGTAATAATAATTCAATATTATAATTATAATTATATATTTACATTACATGTAATATTACTAATAATATTACAATATAATGGTATAGAATATAATACCTTTGCAATATAATACAATATAATACTAGTAATAATAATTCAATAGGCTTCCAGAATGGGACAAACCATCTGAATCGGTTTGGAGGGGGCGCTTCTTCCCTGTACCCATCCCCATGCCAATGCCTACCCTCCTCTATGAAGCCTTCTCCCTCTCTCTGCCTCTCTTGTTGTCCCTGTTGTGGATAAATAATATTATAAAATATCATATTATTTTGAGTTATATAGATATGTATAGATATAGATACACACACACACAGTCACTAGTGATAGAATCTTATAGAAATGTGATATAATCTTATAGAATGCATATAATCAATACGTATATAGATATAGATATACACACACAGTCAATAGTGATATATAATCAATACGTATATAGATACACACACACAGAGTCACTAGTGATAGAATCTTATAGAAATGTGATATAATCTTATAGAATGCATATAATCAATACGTATATAGATATAGATATACACACACAGTCAATAGTGATATATAATCAATACGTATATAGATACACACACACAGAGTCACTAGTGATAGAATCTTATAGGAATGTGATATAATCTTATAGAATTCATATAATCAATACGTATATAGATATAGATATACACACACAGTCAATAGTGATATATAATCAATACGTATATAGATACACACACACAGAGTCACTAGTGATAGAATCTTATAGAAATGTGATATAATCTTATAGAATGCATATAATCAATACGTATATAGATATAGATTTAGATATAGATCACACACACAGTCAGTAGTGATATAATCTTATAGAAATGTGATATAATCTTATAGAATGCATATAATCAATACGTATATAGATATAGATATACACACACAGTCAATAGTGATATATAATCAATACGTATATAGATACACACACACAGAGTCACTAGTGATAGAATCTTATAGGAATGTGATATAATCTTATAGAATGCATATAATCAATACGTATATAGATATAGATATACACACACAGTCAATAGTGATATATAATCAATACGTATAGATACACACACACAGAGTCACTAGTGATAGAATCTTATAGAAATGTGATATAATCTTATAGAATTCATATAATCAATACGTATATAGATATAGATTTAGATATAGATATAGATCACACACACAGTCAGTAGTGATATAATCTTATAGAAATGTGATATAATCTTATAGAATGCATATAATCAATACGTATATAGATATAGATACACACACACAGAGTCACTAGTGATAGAATCTTATAGAAATGTGATATAATCTTATAGAATGCATATAATCAATACGTATATAGATATAGATATACACACACAGTCAATAGTGATATATAATCAATACGTATATAGATACACACACACAGAGTCACTAGTGATAGAATCTTATAGAAATGTGATATAATCTTATAGAATTCATATAATCAATACGTATATAGATATAGATATAGATATAGATCACACACACAGTCAATAGTGATATAATCTTATAGAAATGTGATATAATCTTATAGAATGCATATAATCAATACGTATATAGATATAGATACACACACACAGAGTCACTAGTGATATAATCTTATAGAAATGTGCTATAATCTTATAGAATGCATATAATCAATACGTATATAGATATAGATACACACACACACAGTCACGAGTGATAATCTTATAGAAATGTGATATAATCAATACGTATATAGATATAGATATAGATACACACACAGAGTCACTAGTGATAGAATCTTATAGAAATGTGATATAATCTTATAGAAGGCATATAATCAATACGTATATAGGTATAGATACACACACACAGTCACTAGTGATATAATCTTATAGAATGCATATAATCAATACGTATATAGATATAGATATAGATACACACACAGAGTCAATAGTGATAGAATCTTATAGAAATGTGATATAATCTTATAGAATGCATATAATCAATACATATATTTTTATAAAATAATATATACACTATATATATTAATCAATATACGTATTGATTATATGCGTTCTATAAGATTATATCACATTTCTATAAGATTATCTCACTATTGACTCTGTGTGTGTGTATCTATATCTATACACGTATTGATGCATATAATCAATACGTATATTTTTATAAAATAATATATACACTGTATATATATTAATCAATATACGTATAGATTATATGTGTTCTATAAGATTATATCACATTTCTATAAGATTATCTCACTAGTGACTCTGTGTGCGTATCTATATCTATATCTAGATACGTATTGATTATATGTGTTCTATAAGATTATATCACATTTCTATAAGATTATATCACTATTGACTGTGTGTGTGTATCTATATCTATATACGTATTGATTATATGTGCTCTATAAGATTATATCACTTTTCTATAAGATTATATCACTAGTGACTCTGTGTGTGCGTATCTATATCTATATACGTATTGATTATATGTGCTCTATAAGATTATATCACATTTCTATAAGATTATATCACTAGTGACTCTGTGTGTGCGTATCTATATCTATATACGTATTGATTATATGTGCTCTATAAGATTATATCACATTTCTATAAGATTATATCACTAGTGACTCTGTGTGTGTGTATCTATATCTATATACGTATTGATTATATGTGCTCTATAAGATTATATCACATTTCTATAAGATTATATCACTAGTGACTCTGTGTGTGTGTATCTATATCTATATACGTATTGATTATATGTGCTCTATAAGATTATATCACATTTCTATAAGATTATATCACTGGTGACTCTGTGTGTGCGTATCTGTATCTATATACGTATTGATTATATGTGCTCTATAAGATTATATCACATTTCTATAAGATTATATCACTAGTGACTCTGTGTGTGCGTATCTGTATCTATATACGTATTGATTATATGTGCTCTATAAGATTATATCACATTTCTATAAGATTATATCACTAGTGACTCTGTGTGTGCATATCTATATCTATATACGTATTTATTATATGTGTTCTATAAGATTATATCACATTTCTATAAGATTATATCACTAGTGACTCTGTGTGTGCATATCTATATCTATATACGTATTTATTATATGTGTTCTATAAGATTATATCACATTTCTATAAGATTAAATCACTATTGACTGTGTGTGTGTATCTATATCTATATACGTATTGATTATATGTGTTCTATAAGATTATATCACATTTCTATAAGATTATATCACTATTGACCCTGTGTGTGTGTATCTATATCTATATACGTATTGATTATATGTGTTCTATAAGATTATATCACATTTCTATAAGATTATATCACTACTGACTCTGTGTGTGTGTATCTATCTATATGTAGATATCTATATAACTCAGATACATACATACATACACACACGTACGAACACACGGTCAATAGATTGATAGCAGAGCAGGCAAGAGGGGCATATGTTTGTGTATAGGAATTGTGGGAGTTGCAGTCCAAAACACCTGGAGGGCCAAAGTTGGCCC